TCACTTGTGTAATAATAAAATTCAGAATATTGTAACATAGGCGGTCTAAAGCTATCCGCATAGTTCATTTACATGGACTTACATTATACAGAGTATTTAGTAATATCTAAGTAATAAGTATACAACTTTATACCAGCATAAATCCTTATGAGTAGGAGAAAAACATTAATAATACGGCCATATCCACAGCTCAAGAGGTTCCAGGTTACAGAGACTTAAAACCAGTTCCAATTCTTTTTTTATTTTTTTAAATTTTAAGTAGAATTTCTTTCTTATTAAGAATAAAACCTAGGGCCTTCATGGATATCTTTATTAGTTATATTCTTCTGAGAATTCGGAATCACGAGACCTTCGTGTTCGAAAAATTTGAATTTTAACTTTTCATTTATTGTTAAATTTTTATCTGACTTAACATATCCATTATCTTAAATTTTAACACAGATTTAATAAGGTTGTACTAAGGTTCAATTTTGTATATCAGTCATCTTCTTATCTGTTATTATTTAGCAGCTATTGCAAAAATTAAGTACTGCAAATATCTTTTACACCAAAGATTTGAAAAAAATTACAACCTGTTGAGCTTTGAGTATGTTTCAACATAAAAGTTTTAATTACTTATGCAGCCCTACACAATGGCATATAGCAGTGTATTGAACACCCTGTATAAGTATTTAAAAATTATAATTTATTTGGAAACTTTGAAACTAAAATAAATGTTAAAATTCTCTACTAGCTTTTCAATTTCAATATGAAGTTTAACAACTGTGCGCCATCACCAATTTTCTATGCAAAAATCATCAAAACAAAAATACAAATATTTAATATAAATGAAACACGTATGTACTTAAAGCTTTTAACAAGTTCAGAGCCCTCAACTAATTTTTTTTTCAACTATATAGAATAATGATAATTGGCTGCGTTCCATTGCGATTAACTATGCGTTATGAAAAATAAACTATTCATGTAAATTGTTGTAAAGTAAATTAAAATTACAAAAATAAATATTTACACAAAATGTTTGACGAAAACAAAAAAAACTATACAATACAAAATTTATGGTAGTTATTGTAGATTATTTAGAAGAAAATTAAAAAAAAAGTAGTATACTCGTAATAGTTAGTAAAAAAAAATTATCGAATTTTGCGCAAATACAAATTTTCTGAGTATGAGTTGAATTTTTAATTAATTATTTTATTATTTAATTAAAATATTACAATATTAAAACTGATAATTGAATCATTGAAAATATTGAATAAGTTTTTAGGTTTTGATTTGTTATAAATTATGACATAACGTCAACTATACTATTCACTTAATATTTAAAATGGCACCTCCATTTTTAAATAAAACAATAAACCAAAAGAGGTCAAAATATGCAATTATGTTGAAAATTAGTGGCTACATTAACCGATTGATTGATTTTTTCAGATTTGATTTGTGGAATTTATAATATATTGGATTTTACAACCCAAGGTTATTACATTACCATTTTGATTGATTAATATCAAATTCTTCTTATGTAAAATTATTCATACAAAAAAAATATGTACGAGTAAAATATTAATTAACCAAGTTATTTTTCTGGCAGTGTATTAACACGTTGAGTCTCAATGTATGACCGGCAAATATTTTTAAAGCGGCAAATTTTTTAAAGCTCCATTACATAAGGTCAATTTAATTTTTACCGAAAAAAACTCTAATATTTTACATTTAAAAACTCAATCTTTAAATTTGTTAAACTATGACACTGCTGAGTCTTAACGTAAGTATTTCCGATAAGTAATGAGCCAGAATTCTTGATAGTAAATTGAATATATTCCAGTACATTGAGACCCATAACGCAGTTTTTTTTATACAAAAATGAATGATCAAAGATCTTGTCGTGTATTTAGGAATAAATTACCTTGTATAGAACCTAACTTGTTGGACTTCTATAGCACTAGGCCGATTTTTTTTTCTAAACAAAGTCAATTATTTTTCCACAGGGTAGTGAAACTGATGTCTAAACAAACGGAGAAATAGGCTAAATGATAGTGCTAAAATATCTATTAAAAATCTATAAAACTACTGTATCGCTTTCAAGTTATCACTGTCTGGGACAGATATAGGCGGACGGGAAGACATTTTTAAACCGATTCAGATTTTGATGTTGATGAAAAAAATATTATGCTTGTGTCTATATTTTAGAGATTTATGGCTTGGCGAGAGGAGAGAGAAAATTAAAATAATCTTCGAACATTCGTTTGTTCACAAGTCGAAAATGTTACAAAAGTCTTTTCCGCAACAATATTTAAAAAATCTGCCATTATTTTATTTTCATAAGACTCTTACACGAAGAACCGAAATTTCATGTTGTAAAATTTGAAAATCCAGCTCTTTGAAATGAAAATTTGAAAATTAAAAAAACATCAATTTTAGGAAGAAATTTTTTTATAGTATTTTAATAGTGCAATTCACAATAGAGTTCATTTCAAATATTTTTATTTGTGCAATTCCTGAACCATTCCATATTCAAAATTGTAATTTTATTAAACAAATAAATCAAAAAAATAGTCAAATATAAAAAAAAACTTTATGACTTAAAAATTTAATGTGTTTAGCAATAAAATTTATTATACTCGTACCTACATTAAAAATCTAAATCGTATAAAATGAAGTTTTTTGCAATAGAAAATTGCAAAAAGTTCCAACGTAAAAAAAAATCGATTACAAATTTTAATTTTCTTTAGAAAATGAATGATCGCACATTTTCTTATATTTATATTTTTTTTTAATGAAAATCTTCGTTTCCTTTGACATTAAAATAAAAATTATAACAGTCATAATAAAAATAAATCACTTTAGTATTATTGGGAAAAATGCCATAGGGTGAAATATTTTTCATAAGTAAGGTATGAATACAAAAGAAAATTTCAAAAGAAAATTTACCTATATGAATTTTACTTATCAGCAGCCAAAACTTGATTATCAACGAATGTGATCGAGATTATATGAAAATAAGGCACAAGCGAATAATTTTCAATTTCCTATATCTATAACATTTTGTTTTTCACATTAATTGCATAAATTTAGTTTAAATTTAGAGGTATGGAAAAAACTTTTCATTCCAGTTATAATGTTAAAAAATCCTGTTGTACTGGGTGTAAGTAATCAAGCAAATTTGTTGAAATTACAATCACTAGAAATTTTTTAAAAGAATTTAGTTTCAAAGTCTGATAATAATCAGGTATGATTCCATTTTTTCATCAGATTTCAATTAGACATCAGATTTTAATTAGATTCAGACCTAATCAAATATTTAATCGGATATGTAGAAGGATCCTAATGTATATGGCACCTTATGAAAATGCCATGCCAACAACAAATATAATTATGTACACATATTTTTTATCTCACGATATTAATTCATAAAGTCAAGTGTTATGTTTTTCCACTAAAATTTTTTTTGTCTCATCCCAAATGTAGGCAATTTTTGAAACATTTCAGTATATGAAAGTATAATGAAATTAACTTATATAACGAAAGAGCTAGATTGTTTTTAATTAGAATGTTAGTAACTAAATTGTTTTTTTCAGTTGTTGCAGAGAAAAGTGCTACTTTACAAACCATTGGTTTGACCCAACTTTATTTACAAATCCTTTTAATTTCAAAAATAAATTACGGCATCTTATAAATAATGCAATTATAACATATATGTGTGTGTATAGTAACAAAATTGCAAATTGTATTAACAAATTTAAAGTTAATCACCACTTCTCAACTCCCTGGTTGATTATAAACACATGCTGCGATAGTAATGGTAACTGTTACAATTTATTTGATATATTATACATACATACATACATACATATATAAGATAAATATCTCTTCCGAGTTGTGTAAATAATTCATGGCATTGCTCTTGGCAATCAAAGTAACAAAAACAAAAAAACCAAACAACGAAATTAGTTTAAAAATAAACAGTAAAAAAGGAAAACTATAAAGAAAAATTTTTCAAATTCCTGATTTGAAAAGGAAAATTTTAAAGCGTTCAATTGAATTTTTGTGGTAGTTTTTTTTTCTGTTTATGTTTACCTCATATAATCAAATTGCACTCATTTATTTATTTAAGATTTTTCTCCTATAAACAAAATATTAAGTAACTTTTTTAGGACATTATTTTTTTTGTCTCTGACATCAAAAAGAAAAAATAAGTAGGGAATATTGACCACCTTTATTGCTTTCTTTCGTAGACATGTAGGCAAGAAGTAATTTGAGTAGCAAAACTTTTTAACAAGTAGTTTTCTGGTCTTGATTCAATTACGAATTTAATTTTTTTTTCTTTCATTTAGTTTCATTTGAAAACCAATACTCTCTTTAAATTTACTATTTCTATTTTTGAATTATGAACAAAAGAAGGAGCTGTTAAATGTTTACAATAAAAAAAAAACATAATATTTAATTGAAAAATTTACAATTGGGAATTTATAAAAGTCAAGACAAAAGAGTTTTCATTATAGAATTCGAAAAAATATTTTGTATATGGGTGGAAATTTATTGTAAGACATTAAACAACATTGATGAATGAGAAGCTGGATAGTGTTTCTATACATTAAATTTTATTACAATTTTCTTGTACTACATTATTGTAGAAAATCTTGTTAGACAGCGCAGTGTGATTTTAATCAGTGCAAAGTGAAATTTCACACAATAAGCAATCATGTAGAAATGTATAGGAAATTAAATTTTTTTCTATTCAAGTATATGATAAAATTTACATATGTTTTACATATTGAATAAAAATTTTACCTTTAATTATTTTGAATAATAAAATATTTTTTATTTTGAGGAAATTGTATAGGAATGTATACAAGTATAATTGTTTTATTTGCATTCTTCTAATACAAAGAATTTGGCGTATTTATTTTTCATGTTTTTTTTTTCAATTTTTTGATTTTTTTATAATAATGTTTTAAAACAGAGATCCTTATTATAAGGAAGATGGGTAATGATGATTCAACATGGTGATTCAGAAGTGTGCACAACATCATAAGATGGTTAGAGAGTCAAAAATGGGTAAAGACTAGATGCTAAATCCAAGACTAGGAGCTAAATCTCGAAGGTTTACATAAAATACAAAATGAAGTAAAATGTTGATTTCAAGCCCTTTGCTAGACCATTCAAAACCAGTTTGTTTGAAGCTCCTATCTCCTATCTCTGTCTCAGAACGGAAGTTATAAGCAAAAAAACTTATGAACAAGCAGAAATTTTATGCAAATTTATTAAAATCCCTGAAACTCGGAAACCTTTGTCCCTTTGAAAACCCTAGTCCCGAACAAAAGTTTAACCCATTTTCGATCCTCCAACCAGCGGTATATATATTGCTGTACTCCTTTCTAAATTACCCTGTATACAATTAATACTTTATAATTACAGTAAATTTCAATAACGGAATTAGAAAATGTTTATTATTTTTACCACTGGGTACGAATGTAATGCATAAAATTTTACGTTAAAATAATTACTGAATAATGAACTAGAAAAAAAAAATTGGTTTTTCTAAAATGGTTCAAAAATATAAGTATATACAATTATGTATATACAAATATGTGCATATTATATACATAAATTAAAAATCATTGGTTAAAATATACTCGTATCGAGAATTTTCAGCTGTGCAAATATATTGGGAAATGTCTTGAATAATGGTCTTAAAATAACCTTTAACATACAACTTTTGTATTCAATGAGCCATTGGGAGGTTAGCTACCTTAGTTAATTTCACTTTATTGAATAGAGTTAGCACCAAAATTCAATTCGAAGAATCACAACTGCTGAGTATCAGCAGATTTTCATTTTTACAATTGTTCTTCATTAATTTACTTTGTTTGTTACAGCTTGCAGGTATGAACTAAACTTTCGAGACAACTATTGAGGTTAAACTATTTATGTAAAAAATATAGTAATTTTACTTAACCATTAATCAGTTCATTTAGAGTTAAATTTGTAATACACATAAAATTTCCTAAAATATTGCAATTTTCTGGATTTAGTTGACAAAAATTACGCAAAATAGTGCCTATATTTAGATATTATGCAATTTATCTAATAAATTTTAAATATTTAAAAATTTTTACTGTTAAATTCCTTTTGAATTTTTTTTAATATCTTTCTTTTTTATTCACATTTATTTATCAATTTATTTTGGACATTTCCGTAATTGATATTCCTTTATGTTAAGTCAAAGTACTATAGGGCATTTTCAAATTTAAATTTTGCTTAAACACATACGAAGAAACTTTAGTATAATGGAATATTAGAACTACGTCAAAATCTCACTATAATATATTTTAGTTAGCCAAATTAATTACAAGAGGAAAACATGTCTAAAAATATTCTTTAAATTAAAAAAATTCTACTAGATAATAATTCCATAGCAGATTCAGTATGTATTTTAGTTAGATCCTGACACGATAATTTCATTGATTACTTGCCTCAAGTAAAGATTTAACTACAAATTTTATCATTTTAAAAACACACTATGCTTAAAATTGGAAGCGTGGTATTATGACTGGAAATTTAAAATATCAACACATTTTTCATGCCCATATACGTATGTATATATGTCTATATGGACGAATGTAAAAATATACATATTGGGTCTTTTCGCATGATCATAACAAAATCTATTATTATTTGTTATGACTTTGTCCAAATTATTACTTTAAAGTTCAATATCTCTTTGGAAAGCTTAAATACTGTGTGGGAAGTTTTCTTAATCATTTGTTTTTTTGCAATCATTTAACATTTGAAAAACAAATTCGCAATAATTTTGTTTTATATTGTATAAATTATTATATTTGTACATATATACATAAAATACGTATATATACACTAGAAGAAAGCATCTCATGAGTTTAACAATAATTTAAAAGATTCAAAATTTAAGAAAGTTTTCGCTTATATAACAATAAAATTGAGTTCACGAATAAACAAAATGCAAATTAAGATTGTTCCCATATATGCAGGGAATATTATAATTAATTTGGTATATAAGCGAGCTCACATTTCACATTTTGCTATTACTAAATAGAATTTCTAAATGTGAAAATGGAACGAAGTTTTGTCATTTTTAAACACCATTTATTAAAGCCATAAATAAGGTTTTAATAAATATTTGGAAATTTATTTTCAACCATTCGAAAAGAAGCTGTTTTTTGTGGCTGACACTTGTCAGCCCTATCTATGACACATTTTTAAGAAGACATCTTTTTTGTGATGTTTTCTGAAACACTCTCATTTTCAGTTGGTACTTTAAAATTTATTGCAATTAGTCTTCATCTGAAGAAACCATCAGATAATTAAATAATCTCTGGTAATTCAGTACGGTATTATAGTGAACATTGTCATTATATTCAAACTCGTTCAAGATGTTTGTATTCTCTAGCTAGGATATCAAAATTTTCATTATTTTTGTTTAGTTGAAAAACTTAAAGCATACCATAAATTGACTCTTGTATAAATTCAACGGTTTATGTAAATATTAAAAAGGTTTGCAGCTCACCCTAGTAGTTTTAATTGATGTGTAAAAATTAAATTGTGAGCTGGAATAGATCAATCACTAAATTTTGATTAAAAAGTAGAATCATGTTTATGGTTGCACCTTAAGTGCATAGAAGCTATAATCTTACAAATTATTGAAATTTTTTAAATTTAATTAAAAATCTTAGGTAAACAAGAGTCATTAGATAATATCATGTATCTATTCTATTATAGTCTAGTGCAGGGAGATAAAAATATATTACCTGATGTATATCCTGCATCCAAAAACAAGTACTATTTTTATGATTTTAATAAGATGAAAAAAGGTGTGCACTAAACTAGGAAGTTCGTTCAAAACATGCTTATAATATGTTATGGGCACTAAAATGGGAACATTTTTATTTTTTCAATGACATTTTTTAAGTGCGTTTCATTTTACTTTTTTATTTTTTTCTTAAGTAAAATATTTTTGATATAAATTTGGTTAATTAGGAAGGTATAAGTTCAAATTTGTTACTCTGAACATTTAAAACTACTTCATCGTTTGAACAACTTTTTGTAGAAAAGCAGTAAGAAAACTTAAAGTCATCATCGTTATATCAAGAAAAGAAAGAGAGAAAAAGAAAAACAAGAAACACTAAGAAAGGATTATGCGTTTTCCTATATTATATCACTTTCTTTTTTACCTTTGGCGAATAACATGAAAATGACTTGGTTAAAGTGAGACTTAGTTTTTTCTGATATTTTTTCATTGATTCAATTCCAGTTCAATTCTGTACAAAATTTATATTTTAATTGTATTAACAAATATGTTATCTTGTTTTGTCATTTCAAATTATGATACCTTCCTAGATCGTTTCAGCAATAAGTTTTTTTTGTACACAATTATGAAAAGCAAAATGATGTGAAGTTGTTACTGTTACTATTAATTTGGCAATCAAGCATATAGGCAATCACTTCGAGCTTTTCTTCACAGTTTCCAAAATTGTGTTTTTGCAGTTGGACAACTGTACATATTATAGACCCTCTAACATACGATATTTAAGTTGTATACCAACTACTTCGATCAAATCCGATTCAAATTATTTTATTCTTAAAAATTTAGCTTAAACGAAAAGATATAGATAAATTTAATTAGAATTTGACGATAAGCACTTGTATATCTATGTATCTTTGACATTGAATTCTTAGCATAACAAACAAATTTATAATACTCTTGAAAAGATTTTCTTTCATACAGGTTTAAAATTATTTACCAAAATTATTTTATTATAAAACGTGAATATTCCACTCTATATACTTTAAGTCTTAGGATTTTTTTAAAAATAAATTGCAATTTTTCATAATATTTACAATTATTTTAAAAAGGAGGTTGATAAGGATTTCAATACTTCCCCTTTTTAATGCCAATACCTCAGCTAAACAAAAAAATTGCGTGCACTTTTACACACATGCTATACATTATCGTAAATTTTATAGGTTTATTTTCATTAACTACTTTTACTCACACTTTTGTAACAAAAATCCATTACCAGTTTATTTCGAAAATAGACAAAGCAAAGAAGAAAAACAAAAAATTATGCCTTAATCTTGAAACTAGATTATCTAACAGGCTCAATTCCAGATTTTTCTATTTTTTTACAACACTTTTGAATGATATTAGCAATGACGAGACAATGTTTTTATTTTGCATTTTTGTTTTTGTTATTGATGCTATGATGGTAGAAATTTTTTATGCATTTTATATTAAAGCAAAATACAAAACTATAATCATAGTACATGGTATACATACGCGAGTAAGTATTATTGCATACCTACAAGTATTATACAAATCTTATACAAAAATATTATACAACAACTCTTATTGTTGAAAGTATACAACAACAAAAATTTAGAAGATTGTTGTGACATAAACTGAACTAATTAATTGGAATGTTGAAAAGGTTCCCATTTGTTATAATGCACAAACTGAATAAAAGCAATTGTAAAAGAGTCCTGATATTTTCAAAATGAAAGTGAAATTACGAGTATGTACGTACATATATGCGTCAGATTCTTGAAAATATTTGCAGTGCAGAGTATTAATTAATCAAACAAATTACACACGCAAACAAACCATAAATTTTGTATACTTTTCTAAGAATTGTGAATTGAAGCACGCAACAAAAGTAAGCAAATGCGAATGACTGTGTGAATGTGTTATTTATGATCATGAAAAATGTCCATAACAAATTGCAACTTATAGAAATTTTATTTCTAATATCATTTGTGCACCTTTCTATTACCGAAATAATAATTTTTCGGTTTCAATCTTATGTCATGTGATTTAACTGAAAAGGACTTTTAAAACTCAACAATTTTTTTTTTCAAAAATTTTTTTTGTTGTTCGGACTAGGAAACATCGCAATCATGAATTTCCTATTGCAAAGTTAAAACATCGATCCAGCAAGATTCCAAATTCTGAAGATTTACCCGAAAAGGCTCCAATATTGAATTACACAAATATGATTGAATGAGATACGACTGAGAAGTACTAAAGGGTTCTCAATTTCTTATTAGAATAAATAATGGAAATTCCTTCATAGAACGTCATCTCCCTGTTCTGCAGCAGTTAACTCTTATAAGAAATTTATAATTAAAGAAAAACAACTAAACGATGTATTGTTCATTTTTTGTAATTTAATCTCTTTCATTATGGTTAACGAATATTTTTCTAAATTATTTTAAGAGAGGGTCTTTGCTAAACTCAAAACTTTTATTCAGAGACATTTTGACATGCCGTGATTTGGATTCCACAACAGATTCCAAGAAGGCAAAACTGTATTTCTGGATAAGGAATACATGGTTTTTCGTTTAGAAAGAAACTTAGTACCAATCCTTATATAGATCTATAGATGAGACTATATTAGGCATTCATTATTTGATAGAAACAGTTGTGCATATTTTAAAATTTAAGTTTGGTATCTAAATTGTCCTTTATGACAAAATTTAATTAGAAGGCATTTACAAACTACGGCGGAGTGTTAGTCAAAAAGATGAAATTTAATAACTTGAATCTTTGATTGAAAAGAAAAGTTCCTTTAAAAGAATTTTACAAAGGATTTTGCAACGGTTAATTGTCGGATTAAGTCTGGTGTTATTCTTAATGTAACAATGGCATTGATCGGTAAAATCGAAAAACATAACATTTTCTTCTGTTAATTTTTTCCGCTTCTATTTTTATACTTTATAATCGAGTCTTCGTAAAAAACGAAAACAAAATAATTAAATCAAAATAGGAGTTTTCAAAAGTTTGTGCCAAAGAAAATAAAAAAAAAATAAAATAAACATTTTTTCTTTAAAAGACAATTAAAATTTTGTTCCTGTTTCATAAAAGAGAATTTGGATCGAAATAAACTCCTTTTTTTCTCTACAAAAACAAAATGAAAAATAATTTTCTTTCCTTATTAAGAGTTTTTGAATAAATTTATTTTCTTTTACTAGTAGGGTAATATCGAGTCTATTGACACAAACAAGCATTACATTACAAGCTACCCACAATAATGAGACCGGTTTTAAGTTTAAGTGGTTTTTTTCATCATACAAAAAGGAATACCTACTTACTATAGCAATTTCTTTTTTCATTTAAATTTTAAGATATTTTTCATGGATGTAAATTTTGTTTACTTTTTATTTTTCAAATTTTTTGTTTTTAAATAATTTTATTAGTAATTAATAATAAAAATATATTTCAGTTATAAAAATTAAGTGTTAACTACTGTTCAGAAAGCAAAATGAAAGAAAAATATCAAGATCATCTAATTCATCGTATCGCATCGCATGTAAGTAACATCAAAATATAAATTTTATTTTAAGTATAAAGAGCTTTAAGGAAATTATTTTTTTCAATTAATTTTGACATTGCTTTTTATATATCGTATACGATAAGTTAATTAAATTCAATATTTTTATATATAAATTAAGATTAAGTATGTATGTATGTATTTATATGGACACGCATAAAAGAAAGAGTATAGATGTGCTCTTTTTGAGTAATATTGAATTTGAAAAATTGTTCCTTAATTAATTATTATATTTGGATGAAAATTTTAAAAATTACCAGTTTTATAAGCAAATATTATTAATGAAAACTTAAATTTTTAAAATCGTGATGAGGGCTTCCGTCAGATTGAAAACTTTTCTGATAAATTAAAATATATTTTTTTTTATTTATTTTTCAAAATTAATTCCGCTTTTTCATATATTTTCTCGTATACTCGTATTTAAGTTTACGCACTACTTCTATATTAGTAGTGGCGCATTTCAAAGCTTGAATGATAAGTATATAACATGTGTTAGTTCGAAAAAATTTAATAGGTAAGGAATTTTAGTCAGCTAATACTATATAGAATAATTTTATTATATTTTATTAAATATAGAAGAACACACATTTTTTTCTTTAAATAATTGCCTTAAGATTAATTTACTTCTTACATAGTATAGAATAACAATGAAACAACAATAAAAGAGAAGAAAAAAATTCAACTGTCTCTATTTAATTGGATAAAGGCATTTTCAACAAGTTTTTTGTAACAGAGGTGCCAAAAATTCAAATTTCGGGGGACGATAACTTGAAAGCTGGTGGACGTGGAAAAGAATTTTTTCTTCTAACGAAATAAACCATTTATTAATGTCTAAAAACATGCTAAAATTTCAAACTTCTGCAATCTGCGGTCTAAAAGAAAAACGATATCAAAAATTGGAAATAACAGATTTTAGATAACGGTTAATTTTGATGGTCATTTTGTGTTCAAAAGTTCAAATATGCCACGGTAACAGAAACAAACCCCTGTTTTTCTGCGTTTGCAAAATTTGGAAGATGCTTATGATTTCACTGCAATAAATAGTTAAAAAATGGCATTTTCAAGGTTTTGGGGCGACCCATTTTAGAGGGGTGGAAGTATATAAAAGTTTTTTTCTACGGAAATAAGTTTCTAGTAAAAATTTATTTATATTTAAACTTACTTAATATCAGCTGTAGCAGAAGTTTTGTAAACGGGTTTACAGACAGACAGAGTAAAATTAATTATTAATGAATAATCCTAAATTTTAATAAACTTAATGTTATTAAAAATAATTGCAAATCAGACGTTAAAAGTGCAATTACTTTTAGTTGAAGTTATCACAATTTATATATTGGCTTTCAATCATCTTTCAATAATAAATTTTAACAAGATTGCAATTAATAACAATCATTTTTTAACTTAAACTAAAAATAGTACAATCCAAATTTGAAATGTGAAATAAAAAATTCATTTTAATTACTGTAAAAGTAAAAAAAAATTAATATAAAATTCAACAATTTCCGCAATTGCCTTGAAAATATTTTGCAATTTTAATTTTTTTACCTCCGGTTTTAATTATACATGCAATAATTACTGGCAAACAATTCGTAACTTTAACATTAATTAGTTTTGCCCACCTATCAATTTCATTTATAAGTATCTTAGTATTATCACTACCTATAATCTATAATCATTTTATCATAACTAAGAAAAATTATCAAATCTGTCTATGTTTATGGCTTTTACCTTTTACCCAAAAAGAGGATTTTCAAATCATTTAGAGCGTATAATAAAATAAATTTGAACGATTTTAAAAATTAATTTAGATTAATTCAAAAGGAAGCTTTTTTAAAGAAGAAAAAATTAAAAGTACTTTGAAAATGAAAATTTTTAAAATGACAGTAATAAAAATGTTTAGTTTATTTTCACAATTATTTAATAATTTTGAGTATGTACAAAGAAAAAATTCATGAAAACTTGTTTTATCAAAAGTGTATTAGGTTTAGTCCATGTAGGATTTTTATTATATTGCAGAGATTCATGTGAGCATTTATGAAAGTTTATTTGGTGCACTGAATATGAAATATTGTAAAATATTAATAATTCGAATGGTCCTACAGGGTACATTTATAGTATTGGTACATATTAGCATATGGTATTTACAATAATAATACAATTGTAGTACTAAGTTATATTAAGGAAAATCTCTAAAATGTATTCAATTTTAATATAATTAATAAAAATTCAGCTTTTTTTTAGCAAAATTGCGGTTGTTATTTACTTTTAAAACATTTATAATAGTTGAGATTTCGAAAAAAACATGTAAAACAAAATATGCCCAATTCTTTCGACCCTCAATATTAGCCCTTTCAAAAACTCTGTTTTTGGTGCTTTTATCTTTTCGGGAACAGAAACTAAAGTTTCGACAGAATGTTTAACAGAAGTTAAAATTTCGCCAAATTTTCCTGAAATCCCTGTAGCTCAGAAACGGTTCCGAATTGCGACCGTCTGGAATATAGATCCTAACTTGTTGCTGAATCACCCCGTATGTCCAGTTATTTCAAATTAAATAATGTACTAGGTTCAGTGTAAGTAATTACATAGCACAAATTCAACATGAAGATAGCAAAAGCATAAGAATTATTCATTTAAAATTTATTCAGTTTTGAGCGCTAAACACCTTCTGACTTTTTCGATTATGGAAAAGTGATGGAAATATCATACAAATTATTTTAATATCCTAAAATTATTGTAATTTATAAATTAATTAAAATATCTATTCAATTATTCAATATGATTTATAAATTCTTAATAGTTTCTTTGAAAACAATTTTGTGTTTTTCAAATTAGTGTATATTTTAACTGCTTTATAAACGCAATTATTCATTTTTCGTCAAACATTATCATTTCGTCAAGCATTCTATCACCTTTTTTATACTCTTGTTAATTTTTAAAGAAAAATCATATGAAAA